GGGGGGGGGCGGGGGACTGGGGGAGGGGAGTCGATGATGACCCTGCGCTTTCCGCACCGTCCCCCGCCTCGGGCCCGAGCGGCCCCGTGGAAAAAAAAAAAAAAAAAAAAAAACGCAAAAAACCCCGCCCCGCCCGGCAGGAATTCCTCAGCAGCGTCACCCAGCAATGCCCCTTTTGTCCGCCCGGCCCGGCCCGGCCCCGCCACAGCCCTGCGCAGGGCTGGTACCCGGCCGGAAACGGCCCCGGCCACGTTTTCTGCCCAGAAAACTGCTGGATCCCTGTCCCCGTTTGTGCTCCCGCTGTTCGCAGCCCCCGGTGATCCCAGCCTCGCTCGGCACCGGGAAAGAGAGCTTTCCGACCGAAATCCCCGTCCCTGCCTTTCATGGTCGCGCGTGTTCGGCGCAGGATAAATGGAGGCTGCAGCCTTCCCTACAGACGAGGGGCGCGCAAAGGGCTTTGTCATGCAAATGTGGCTCTGAGCCACCTTCTTGCAAAGCCACTTAATGCCGAGCAGCCAGTGATCCTCGCCCTTTCAGGCAGCGCCTGCCCTGTCCTTGAAGGAACGGAAATGGAGGCACTGGCACAGATGCGTGGTCCCTGCCTCCATGCTGGATCGGGATGACCTCACAGCGCAGGGAGAAGCCTCCCTCCCCTTCCCCCACAGAGGTCTCTCTCTTCCGCGAAACTAAACTAGTTTCCTGCCAGCCTTTCCCTGCTGCCCCCGTAATACGTCCCCTGTTCCTCTCCGTTCAAACGCCCGGTAATTACCTGCATGTACTGGGTTTCTCCCGTGTCCTGAAACATTTTATTTCCTTTTAGCATGTCGTCCTCGCTTGGCATTAACTTTCGACAGCAGCCAGCAGAGTGTGCTGTGAACGCTGTGAAAAGAATATCCTGCTTCTGGGAAATTTTTATATATTTACATACATGTACAGAAATGCAGATGAAGACATTTTAAGTGGCTCTAATACTTGCACGAGTGGTATGTAGTTCCTCCCATCAATTAAAATACTTCTCTTGTCGCAGATCACACAACCTCTTCCTTAAAAATTAATAGCCAAGTCATACTAAACCGTCTGCTTTCAGCAAGATTGCTTTCCAGTGTTTGTATAAAGTTGGAAAAGTGCCACAATGGAGATGTCCAAATACCTTTCACAGTCAGAGAGAAGGATCTAGAACACAAGGTATTTAATAGATGAAAATGCAAATCATTACCCCAGCCTACAGGAAGTAGCTTATGCAATTATACAGTATGAGCATACATTTCTCCAACCTCGTCACTCCCTCCTTTGGACTTACTTAGTGACAGTGGAGTTACAAACAGATTAATAAATACATTAGAAATAAGTGAAATAAAAGAAGATTCAAGAGAAGTGTTTACTAGATGACTTGGAAATGCGATTGTTTGCTCGAAAAGTAAACACGCATATGCTTGTGTTCCTTGTATTATTCTGGCGTCAATTTCTTTTTCCTTGTTTTGTAGGAGCAGACATTTAGGGAGGAGTGAACTTTTGAGTTGTGCTTGTGGGGTAACAAATAGTTCTGTATCATTCACAAACTAAAACTGCATTAAAGCAAAGCCAAGTATGAGACCCTGTGGAAGGGTTTTTAAGGGCAGAAGGACATTGTTGTTATGCAACCAAACTGGAATTAGGATTAAAAGGAAATCAGAATACATAAACAAAAACAAATTCAGAAGCAAGGCATTCGAATAAAATTGGCTGTGGGCTGCAACTATCTATGCAGTGCAGTTAGTGCTTTATTAAGTGAAACTGTTTTAGAAACGTATACTAGAGGTTTGTTTGAGATTTTTTGTTTTTCACAGAATCAGTCTGACTGGACAATCAAAGCAGAATATTCTCCCCAGCTCTGCTTCTGATCAGAATGAATCAAATACAGCGCTCCTAATTTTCATGGTCGTGAGAAGGTCATAAAACTAATAGTTATGTATTAGCAAGGCGTTACAAACTATTTCATATGCACTGCTCTGGTCATGCAATAATACTCATGCTTAATATTAAGCACACGTGGCTTAACAGGTGCACATGAGTTAATAATCATAATGGTATCTGTGTTTTTACACAGTTTTTCGGGTGCTGTATGCCAAGTAATACCAAGTATTGCTTGGCTGCTGGTAGCCGTATATTAAAAGGTAGACTGTTAATTGGCAAGCATAGACATGCATTATTTCATAGCCACAGAGACCAGCACCAATGAGTAGTCGAGCACAAGGAGGCAGCTAAGCAGTGCTTCACAATTCATCACTCCCATGGAGGAAACAGCGAGCAGCAAGATGAGAAGTTCGCTGACTCTGCAAAACTTTTTTAAGTTATCAGGATTGAGGGTCATTTGTAAAGAATTGAGGGTGATTAAGCAGTAAAAAATAGATTAAATACAGGGTAGGTAAGTGCAAGATGATGTGTGCGCAGAAACCTAGTTCTAACTTTACGTAAAACATAGGAATACCTAAAATGGTTGCTGCCACCCAGGAGTGACAAGTGTGTATGGCCTGCATGAACATCAGCTTTGTGTTTGGAAAAAAGCACATTTTAAGGAAAGGGACAGAGAACAAAAGAAGGGTCATATTTATGGCAGTCCAGAAGTCTGTGCTGAGTTTGCATGATGAGCACTGTTCCCTGCTGAGTTTCCTGCTTTTTAGAAAGAAAATGCTGGAACTAGAAAAGAATAACAAGGATGCTTAGCTGTCTGACTTTGTGTCCCTTGAAAGCGACAGTTGAGTAGGATTGGCGTTCTCTCTCAAGAGGGAGGATGCCTGAGGCCTGTTACATCCCAAGTAACTTGGAGAGGGTGGATGGTGACTGACTTTTTGAGTACAAACCACCAGATTTGTGATAATGGGAACCAGGCCTTAAATAAACAAGAGGAGATGTTCTTCCTGCAGTGTATTTCTGAATGGCACATTGGGTACAGGGTATTTCTCTGGGGTGCAGTGCAGGGAAGATTGGACAAGTATTAGGAAGAGGCTGTGTTGAGAGTTAATGAATGAACAACCCCTCACACTCAGGAAATTCCCAGAGCTAAAAGCAGTTGGAAGCTGTGAGAGTGTTGCAGAGAAGATATCATGTATTTGCCTTGCTTTTCCTCTTCCTTTGACGTTGGCCTGTGACCTGTGGTGGAAACAGGATGTTGGACTGAATGAGTTCTTCATCCGAGGCAATGCACCTCTTCCTCTGTGTTCATGGAGGATCACGCTGAAACACCGGGAGCCACATACTAACATTAAGCCTGTGTGATGGGGTTCTTTCAAACCAGACTCAATGTTCATCTGTACCCAGAATATTATAGAGCAACTGCTGGGCTACATATTTCTGTTTTGCCTCACGATACACTTATATCTCTGTGTCCACAAAGTCTTACTAACAATATACATACAGTTGCATTGCAATTGCATACCCACAACCAAACCATCTTTTTGTCCTTCCTCAGTTGAAAACATTTGTTCCATGAGGAACAGACCTAACGGTCTTACTTTTCTATGACTTTTTCTTTGGAAGGAGGAGCTGTGAAGAAAAATTTCTTTACCCCCTCCCCCCTCTCCCTCTCCCTTTGTTTGGTGGTTCAGGTGATAGCATCAGTTTTAGCCACACTTGAATTCAGTAGCCAGCAACTGACCAGCTAATACCCACAGGCGGTTGGGCTGCTGCCTCTTAGCATGACTAAGGCATTGGATTTTGTCCAGTGATTTCAAATGCTTTTTGGATGGGAGAGAACAGTTCAGTTGTGTCCTTAGGGATGTAAGACAAAAAACTACCATGCCCTTTGTGATTTTATTCTCATCAGATTTTTGTTTTCATACACCCATTTCTTATGTTGCCTTAAATAAATAAATGGAGAAGTATTACTGGCTTCTTGGTGAAAAAGAAGCACGTGACCTATGAAAAACGGAGTGAACTTGTTAAAACCAGACAGTGCACCTGCTTGGATTTGTATGTTCTCTCTCTGAATTCACCTATGCTGTAGCTTGAGGATCAGGAAATACACAGTGAATCATCCTGTTGGACAGAATGGGACATGCAGAGTAAATTAAGTTTGTCGTATCTCCGTGAGATTTTCTCCTTTGCTCACTACCTGTAGGAGGGGATTTTCTTAGTAATGTGACCTGTCTTCACGCTCCATTTATTGTACCCCAATTGATGTATGTAATCTTGGTTGAACAGACAGATAATGGGGTAAACACCTAAAGTGTTGAATGCCTGAGCAACAGATCTGAAAAGAACAGGTAGGCAAGAACCAAAGTGCAAATGTTTAGAGACAAAAATCGGCATTCTTCTCTGACAGGAGATCTTAATGCAAGTTTGTTATCATTTTCTCCTTACAAGAGATGACAGAATGTGAAATTAAAGTGTAAATATCTTTTATTTGCTAGCGTTGTACGTGACTTTTCTGTTTTATTCTCTTTACTGAATAGGACTTTAATATATTTGCTTTTGATATCAATAAAAACCACTGGTTTCATATCTGTGAACAGGAAAGTGTCAAGGCATGATGAAAAAGTGCTGCTTTTTACCGTTTCAGAGATTGCTACAAAGCTGGCTACACACTTTTGTGGTTGATTGGCAATCCAGAAAGAGAAATCCTCTTTCAGTAGTTTACCAGAAAAGACTCATCTTTCTCTTCCTTGCACACAAAGAGTGGGAAACCGTGTCCAAACAGCAAACAAGTTCTGTAACTGTGGCATGGCAGCCTTGATGATTTGGTATCTTCAATACAAAGCATAAAACCACTGGAGGAAAATACTTCCTTTTTTCTGAAACTAAGGTGCTGGGATTATTCTTGCCCCAGCAGAAATGGGCTTTGAAGACCTGTCTCAACTGTAATAAAGTCGAACTATTCAGGTTTTGGGGCCTTTTTTCCAAATGTGCAAGGCTTATCATGTGTAGGAATATTCACATATCATGTAAAAGGAATCTATATATTGGCACATTTATTCTCCCTCTCAATATTCCTATCTGGACAGTTACTTAATCCATGCAAGAACTTTCCTGTAGCAACTAGAAACATTAAGAAACTTCGCCCAAGGCTTTTGTCATTTTGTCTTTTTATTTAGAGGATGTCGAGCATTTGTGAGACAGAAAATAGGTACATCATCTGTTATATTAATCCCCAAGACATGAGCTCTAGGTGAAAGACTGAGTGTTCTGGAGAAAAGTGTAAAATTCTGGCCTTCCTGAAGTATTTAAGGAGATGGGAAAGATAAGTATGTAAGAAGAAATTCTTCAAATTTCTGCTTTATATCATTCAGTGTATGATACTTTTTTTTTAAGCTATACCATGAAGAGATTTATTTTTTTACTATTGCTTCCAAGGCAGCCTGACTTGTTCCTTGTGAGAGTAGCTGGAAGGGAGAACCATAAAACAGCTGACAAAGTCTCATGTAGCAAGAAAATCATATCCCAGTTACCAGGATTTAAGCAAGATAAGTCTCTTCTGGTCCTTGCAAATCTCTACAAAACATTTTGATGCCATTGTCCACAGGTTTGATCAGATCTCTCTTTCCAGTTTGTTTCCCTAATGTTAGCTGCAGACATATGATAAGTGCATCTCACAATGTTGTCCATATGCACCACTAGGCCTGTGACCAGTTCAGGCTGCTGAAGCACAAAAGGAGAAGGAGAATGTGGAATTGATCCTAATGACTGGACCATGCATTTTAGGTTCACACCAGCCTCCCTGTGAGAGGAATACAGAGTCAGCATGTGGCTTAAGCCCCCTAGGAATGCAGGACCAGTGGGAGGTGCTTCTGAGGGACTGAGCCATCTACAGAATTTGAATATTGAACATAATCCTGATGCATTCTCTCAACATGACCAGAAAATAGTTTCTGATCAGGGTCTTCACTTGCTACGTAGATTTCTTCAGTTAATTGATTTTCTTGTCTTATTTTTTGCTTCCCCTCCTTCCCCCCACCATGGGAAAGCTTGGCTTTGCCTTTCCAGAAAGAAGAACACTGACCACAACAATTTAACATGTGACATTAACTGATTTCTCTTTTGGAACAGGGAAAAATGGATTCCAAAGGTTTTAATACCTGTGATTAATTTGAAAGTGTTCATAAGTGAAGTAAAATAAAAAGAATTGCTGATGCCCCTTTGAGACATTTATTACATTCCTGTGTTACTTCCCCTTCATCCAAATGTTTCTGGCTAAGCTGTTGAAGTCAAACTTTTGCGTAGCAGCAGCAAGGTAAAGCCAGATACTCCCTTTTATTTTTGAGGTTGGTTTGCTCTCTTTCAGAATTTGCTTTCTTAGTAGCATAGGTACACTGAGCTTTGCCATTCGATAGTACGTTGGGTTTTTTTTTTTTGGAAGAGCGTGATATGTCCACATATTGCTCATAGCTTGGGAAGTTCTTTGTGAAGAAAAATAAATGAGAGGGGAAAAAAAAAAGAGTTTTTTCTCCCTCTGACCAGATTTAGGATCTAATTAGTGATTTTGGAATCTAGTTAGTGATCTAGTGACACAGCACTTTTGTTGCAAGAGACTGCACTTCCTTGCTTTTTGCTCAGCCAGGGTTTACTTCACAACAATGGTCAACGGGTCACAGTTTTCAACATCCCCTCTGAATTTGGAGGCAATGAAACTGTTCACCATCAAGTGAAAGTATCCTCACCTGTCTAGGAAAGCATCTTGTCTAGCACTTGACTGTTCCCTGACTGAGATCTGACACGCTCACCTGCCAGCCACTGCAGCTGATGCACCACTGGTACAGTCCAATGCCAGGTGGGATGTGTTACTCTCTCATGAGTCTGCATGTGCTCTGTCTCTCTAGGGTGTGTCAGCATGGTTAAACTCAACCAGCTTGAATTTTATCTGTCAAAGTTTGGATCTTCCTCAAGCCCCATTTTTTCATTTCTTGTTTTTCCAGTTTAGGGGGGGGAAGGGGAGGTGTGGTTCTGAATGTTGCAC